TTTGGAGGAAGAAATATTAGCTAGGGAAGGCCTGGAATGGACTTGATATCTGCATAGACATCAGCCTTTAAATTATGATATTTAGCACAATTCTTTTTAATAATACAGCATTATTTAACATCCAGATTATGTGAATAAATTAGCATTGTCTTGGGAACAATCAGCCTTCACACAAACACTCACATTTCATGGGAGTATTACCTTATCAGCTATTATTCACCTCTTTGGGTATATAAAAGATATGACTCTCAATTTCTTAAAACAATGTCCAAAGAGATGACAGTTTTTCCTTGGGAGCATATACACTACTGGAAGCTTAACAGTTATTTCAGAAACATCTTCACCTTTTTAAAAAAAGTTGATCTCATTGGAAAAGGAATTCTTCACTCTATCCAATATGGCTGTATATCATCATGAGATTAATATATCTTGAACTGTTTTAACAAAGGATAATCACAGAAACCTGAGTAAGATCTCAAAAACAGTGGGAAAAGTGCCAAATACGTAATGTCTAATACTGTAACATAAATGCTTTAAAGATTCTTCATTTTTATGGATGTCACAGACACATGTGTTAAGATGCATCTTGGAAAATGTGAATAATCATCTGTAAGAGATGTACCAGAGTCATTAAAACCTAATAATAATATGTAAAACACTGTAACCATGTATTTCCTAAGTGTTTTTTCAAGGATATAGCTGAAATGTTTAAATATATATCTTTATAATATGAAAAACACTACATAAAAATCAATTTCCCTATCTCATCTAAAAATATAAAATATGTCTAGAGACACTTAATGCCATATGTCAATAGCTCTTCTTGCATTCTCTGCTTTGCAATCAATAGTTCTCCAACCATTAGAGAATATGCTCCATGACTCATCAGAAATTATATACAAAGTTAATGGGGATCAGTGTTACCCCTCACACTCCATACATGCATGGACACTAATGGCAGTTACACCTCATACAGCGGGAGACAGATTCAAGATGGCACCTAGCCAGGAGGTTACTCTTCCAAGCTTCTCTATAAAATCTGCCCTCCCCCCAAAAAAGAACCCACTATATCCACCCTGTCCTATATCTTTAGCAGCCTTCAAGGAAGTAAAAGTAAGCATGCTTTATATGGGTAGAAAAGAACTGCACTTTTTCAGCGTAACACTTCACTGTGCATGGCAAAATGTACTTTGGTTATGAGAATATCTGAGGGGAATGTTTCCAGGGCCTATGCCATTGTGCTTTGTTTGCTAGTCAGATGCTTTCTCAAGAATGTGTTCAAATTATAAAGACAATTATCTCCGTGTATAGAAATCTTTCAAAGACCATACTACCACAGAAACCTATTTTTACCTTTCTTAACACTCAAAACAAGGCCTTATAGTCTACAAGTGAAAATCTCATTCTTGTGAATTTATTAATCTTTGATTAACATGTGGTCAGGAGTTTGTTTGGATTTACTTGATGTTTTTATTTTCTAAGGAAGGAAAGTCATAGGAAAGGAAAATACATATGAAGCATTTGGGGATAATTGCTATTTACCAAAAACTATTTTAAAATAAATTTTAGTGACTCGTTTATGTTTGGTAACTTCAGGACAATGATAACTATAGTGTCTCTAAAATGTTCCTAAGTAGCAATCATACTCTATTCTGGCCTTTGAGAGGTGTTAAAACTCATCCCCTAATTATAAGCCTTTTCTCTGTTATTACTACCTCACCATTAAATCTCTAAACTAAATAGTAGTTTTGAGGAAATAAAAATAGATGTTAGGTAGTGTATTTTCTCAAATTTCAGTTACAATGGATAAGAAAGACAAGATACTTCCATGTATAATAAACTTGTTTAGCTTGTAAAAATAAAAGTCAATTTTATTATATTTTAACCAGCAAACTCTTTCAGCTTTCCCTCAGAATGCTGCTTCCCTGCTTTATTCTAGAACAGCACTAGCCAATGGAAATACAATACAAGCCACATTTGTTATTTTAGGTGTTCTAGTAGTCATATTTTTAAAAAGGGAAAAGAAGCAGGTGAAATTAATCTAACAGTATATTCTATTGAAACCAATATATCCAAAATATTATCATTGCAACATATAATCCATATAAAAATATTAATCAGATGTTTTACATTCTTCCCTTCACACACAGTTTTCCAAATCTATAATGTATTTTATACTTAACTAGCCACATTTCAAATGCTCAACAGCCACATGCGGCTAGTGGCTACTGCACTGGACGGCACATTCTAGATTTCCAAAAATATGAAGCTTTTTGGCCTAAAAGGCCACCACTTCAAAATCTTCCTATGTAACATCCTCTATAATCAGTATCGCTGCTGGGATTTTATATTAAGACAAACATTTAAGTGAATACATTTTACTTTCTTCCTCTACTCCTTTGACCCTCGTATCTACTGCTTAAGCTGATGACTTTTTCTTAAGGGTATAGGAAACCCCAATGACCTATTCCCTTCAGCTTCTTCTAAGTGAGATCCAGGATGTTCTCTAACCTGTGCATCCTCCTCACCAAGCAGAAAACCAGAAGGTGCAGCAAGGCTATTCTCTCTCAGTTTCCATAAATAGATATATCAAATACAGGCCTAATGAACCACGACAGTGATAAATTAAATGCAAGGATGATTTTTTTGCTTACAATGAAAATAGGAAATTTTATATGATAAAGTAACACACCCTTACTCAATGAGAAAATGATTTTACTCCCCACCCCCACTGACCCCAGGAGAAACCTTGGGATATTCTTTTCTTGATCTAGAACAGAACCCAGTGCTTCATTTCATAGGAATTCTGTGCCCAGAGGAAGAACAGAATGCTGGAAACAAAATTTAATGAATTCAACTTGGAGTCTAAGTTTGCCTCAAATGTGGAAACGTAAACACAAGCAATAATATTTTAAACCACAGAACACTTTGGATTCTCCATTGGCATGGCTGCGTAGAGTATCACACTTGATGTGTGTCTGCACACAAATCTGTTCTTAGTTACATGAGAAAAAAAATTAAACTAGGCCCATGTGAGCTTTTCTGAGTCTCTTAGTAATAATAAAACCTGATTATTATGTCTTAAGTGACACTGTAATTATAGACGGATGGATGAACAGGTTTTCTGGTGCTGACCCAACCTGTTCCCTAAAACACAAAAGGCAACTTTTGTAGTCCTCACTGAAGAAACCCCCCATTAAACAAATAAAACTAAAAACTAATGTCTACATTTTGAAAGAAGGCCTACCAAAAAAAAAAAAAAATTCACCCCCATGTAAATGGATGAAAATCAGAACACTGTAGGTTTCCTAAAAAACAGTTTTGAGCTGTAGTTGTCACCAACTTTAAGAAAGCAAAGATACAAGTGACAACAATGTGCTTTCTCAGGCTACAAAATAACTTTATTTGGTGTCTCTGGCTATAAGTCTACATCTAAGACGTTCTAAGTATTGAAACTAAATATTCTTAAGATGAATTTTACAGTCGTTGAACTTTCATTTTAACTTGCCTTAGTGATAATAGTTTATCTCAACAGCAAGACAAGGAGAAACACCAACGCTCTCAGGAACGCACACAGATAACATGGAGTGGATCACTTATGCTGGTATAGAAGAGTTAGGTCCTAAATACCTCTGTGGATAAACAGACACCGTGTTCAAACCCAGGAGGGAGGAACACCGTGTCCACTGGTGTAGTATTTCAAAGCGCCTTGCAGAGGGCCTGCAAATCCAGAGGCATTAATTATGACTTCTCTCTCGGTGTATTAATTTGTTTAAGAAATTCCTCAGAGTACGGCAGAGTTTACCATCCATTTGCTATCGCCTGTGCTGGTGGGCACACAAAGTAAAGACAGTGGCAATAACCTGTCTGGCAGCTTCTTACTCCGTCTTAATCCTAGGGAAGCACACTCCACGGAAATACACCACCAAATCCCAGCAGCCGTATATTCTCCCGGCCGGGGAGAGACTTAAGAACACAATTACTCTTCTAGCAACACCCCTGTAGTTGTAAAGTGCTGTGAGAGGGGCAAGCATAAGCTCCACCATATACCTGCTCGTGTTACAGGCTCTGGAATCAAAGTATTCTCACATGACACATTACTACCAATAACAGATTCCGGCTCCGTTTAAAAAAAAAAAAAAAAGAGGGGGGGGGGTGGGGGGGCACATATTTGTCCTGCTTTTGTCTAAAAACCAGAACCCAAGTACTAACTACTTTTCATTCTTTTCAACCTTTCATGAAAGCAATTCAATCAACCAACTGCGGCTCCACCCAGAGAGCGTCTATACTTACTTTTCTTACAGTTTTTGAGTGACGCACTACAAAACGAAGAAGAAAAAGAGAGAGAGAGAGGAGCCCTCTCATGCAGGGCGTCTTCCGCCCTGTAAACTTGGCAAAAGGCAAACTGGACTGAAATACAGCACTCTCCATATAAGGAAGCCCAGCTAAACATGTCATGCGTAATTTATGGGTAGCAGGCAGAGAATTAACCTTTGCGTGCACATATTTGGCCCAGATGAAAACCGGGCTGGATGGCAGCCCCGGGGCCAGGGATGCGGGATCTCTTGGGAGAAACCGTGGCTCGCGTCTGATGGACTCGCATCTCCTCCTGACGAAGGTCATTAAGTTGTAAGTACACTTCCACGCACCTGTTTCTTTCATTTCCCCCCTCTTTCTCTCTCTCTCTCTCTCTAGGCTGCCAAACTCGAAGCCGGCTGCGCTCTGACAGTGTCCGCAGCGCCCGGGGAAGGGCTGCTCGGAGCTGGGCTGCAGCTGCAACCTCCCGCTCTCCCCCTAGCTCGAGATGGTGTGCGATAGGAAACCATCCACCGTGGCGAGCCAGCCCCTGCCGCTACGAGACGCAGCCGGCCAAAGCCTCCTCTCACTTCCTCCTTCAGCCATGTACAGCCCCGAAAGAGTACAAACAATGCAGAGCAGCAGAGCAGCGCAAGGAAACTGTGAAAATGGAAACTTACCTCTCACATTTTTTTTTCAGAGGCAGCCCGACTGCCGACCGAGGGCCCAGGGCATTGTGGGAGTCATGATTCCAAGAGGCCCGCGATTTAAAATTGAACTTGTCAGTTCCCGGTCACGGGAGCATTGTGAGCGCCACAACTCATTCAGCTGCAGTGAAAAGACTGTTGCATGTCGCTGTGCAGCCTCTTATCGCCGAGGTCTGGTTTCCGCTGCTGCTGCGCGGCCCCTCCCCCGCCAGCCCAGCCCCACCAGGAAGCCCGGGGCGGACTCGTCGAGCTCCCGGACGCACGCGGCGGCGAAAAAACGCTCTCCAACTTTCGGCCGCCCTCCCGCCCTCGCCCGGGCGGCACTGGCGCCCCTCAACCGAACAAAGTCCGCAAGGGGTGGTCGTTGCCGCTCGCGGGTCGGCCCCGGGAGCACAAGGAAGCCGGAGCCGGCGCTGGCGAGGTGCATCCCCGCAGCCAACCGGTGGTATCTTCCATCTTACACGTTCAACATTATAACAGCCGAGCTATAGTGCGAATGGGACGCACCCCTACTACTTTCCGCTCCTTCGGACCAGCCGGGCGGACACATAGGTCCTTTTTTTTTTAAAGAGGCCGGCGGATGGGGCTTTTTGTAAGGAAGCCGGCAAGGTTAGGTTGAAGGTGAGAATCAGATCGGCAGAAAACGGTAAGGATCTGATGGGGCTGCCGCCTTAAAATGCACCACACCGTTTTTGAACCTGGATGGCTCACAGGCGGGAAAAACATCTGCAAGACTGCCAGTGTGTCTCTTCCTCAAGTAACAGGGTGTCCACAGTTTTGCAGTTCCTTAGTAAAACTGATTGTCACACAAGCACAAACACTCCCACTGCAGCTTCCAGTCTAGCTTGTAAATAATACTTGGAATGTAAAATCCCCTTTCTTCCCAACTCTGTATTACACGATTTATAGGAGGCAGAGACCCTTCTCTGAAAATAAAATACCATTTTCTGAAATACTGGAATATTCCAAGGCAACTAGGTCATATTATTGTTGGAGCAAAACACACCACAGCCCCAAATCATAATTCATTGGGTGTTATAAGATGCAACTTGGCTTCACTTTGAATGGAAAGAATTCTAGACTAACGTGATGTGATAATGTTTTGGAGATTTGGGGGCAGAATTTCCTTTGAATTTAAGGAATTTTGATAACTTGTTCAATAATGATTCTAATTTAAAACATTGGTTCTATGTTTTGGACACAATTTGTAATGAAATGGTGGATATGGTGCCATGTTCCTCCTACAACTTTGTTGTGTTAAAGAGGGTGGGGCTGGCTTAAGGAGGAAAAGGGAAAACATCGTGAAAGGTGCTAAAGTTCAGGAGTAAGAGTCATTAATAACAGACTTGAGTTCTGACCCTTGGCTAGATCCACAAAACAGTTAATATTGTGCACTGCTCCCTTCCATAACAAATAAATTAATTAATGGCCCTACTTCTCAGTGTTAATCATTGAAAAGTACCCAAGTGCACACACAGTGGAAGCAAACTAAAAAGGACACTGACACTTTCTCAGAGAACAGGAATGGGCGTTCTCTATCTGCCAATTAGTAGCTATGAGGAATTCCTTTTTCTTAATTCAGCATTCATTTCAACAACTACATCGAATGCCTGCTCTGCCAGGGATACAAGAATGGGTAACACAGCCCCTACCCTAGAGGATAATATCCTGGGAGGGAAAAGACAAATAAACCAATTAACTCTGCCTCAGGGATAAATGCTAAAATGGTGCTGGCAAGCCAAAGGGGGCCTGAGGAGAGTTAGGGAAAGCTTCCTGGAGGAGTTATTTTCAACAGGTGCCTTGAAAAGTGTATAGCAATTAACAAGATGGAAAGGGAGTTGAGTCTGGTCAAGTGGGAGAAAAGAGCATGGCAAATACAACAGACCAGCCAACTTTCCTGTTAGAAGTGAGGGAAGGATAAGTATAGGGGAGTGGCAGGAGATGAGCTAAAAGTAGATCTGTTTTAATCCAAGGAGCCTCAGCTTTAGTCTGAAAACCATGATGAACTGGAAGAGTTTACACAGCAAGGGAATAGGTAGAGTTTGGACTTGTATTTCAGAAAGATCCTGTGGCAGCAGCTTGAGGGTGAATGGGAGTGTGGGCTGGTGGCCCATAGAAGAAGGGTGAATGGGTGTGGACAGACTGGAAAAATGACTCATGCAGGGAATGAGGAAGGGAGGAACCTTGGGAAGCTCCCAAATCCCTGGCTTAGCCTACTGGATTGTTTGCTACTTGCCTTTTAATGTCTTCAATTTGCCTTTCATTCTCCATGACAACGGACCCTGACTTCTGAGCTGGGCCACCTCTGCGTCTGCTAGCAGGTTGGCGCCCTAGCCGGCTTCCACGCACCTCTCAGAATGTCCAATGAACCGCTAAGGCCTAATCCCCGTTGTAGGAATTTATTTTCAATTGTTCTCAGACCCTTGTAGACTTCCAAGTTAGAACTTTGGTGTTCTTTTTTCTTGTGGGTTAGAAAGTTTGCTGTTTGGTGCAACGTGGCGGAAAGCAGGACTTTGAACCTGGGTATGGTGCAAGAGGGGAAATTATTTTTCCACTTCAGCACTGGAGGAGGGGGGAAGTTCTGGGAACAAAAGAGAAATTGAAACTGAGACAGATTTTCTGCTCCACCGAACAGATGACAAAGAAATACAAGAAAGACCCTTGAATGTTGGAAACAGTAAAATAAACATCCTCGTAAATGACAAAGAAGAGGAAAAAAATGTTATTTTACATTAGATAAAAGAAAAAGGGATGGTTAAGAAAAACTCCTATAAAATAATGGTCAATCTAGGATTCAAAAATGAATCAAAATAAATTGTGATATAAAACTAGTTTGCCACGAATTTAGCTTAATTTATTAATGATAATACTATAACATGAGTAATGACATTGAAAATTTTGAAGCACTGTAACAAACACCAGATCATATGTTAAAAATATTAAATCATGTTGCCAGCTTTCAGCTACCAGTAGCATTCTGACTGCATTTTAAATTATGGAAATTATTAAAAAATCATTAGTAATAAAAAGTAAATAGTTTCCCATTTAGAATACCACTGATACTCCCTCAGTGCCAGGAAACCATGAGTAGTATGGTTTCTTTTGCTTCTCTGAAGTGTACTTACAGTTCACGGACTCATGAGTGAGTAGATCCATAAGTACAAAAAGAAGGTCATTTGTGGGTGGAGAGGGAAATTAGAGAAAACAATTTCAGATGAAATAAAACTACATTTTCAGATAAAGGAAAGAATGTTCACTGCAGTTTTCCTGAAATATTTCAGACCATTCAAGTTTTAATTGTACCAACGAATCCCAATAGAAATGCAGTTAAGGAGTATGGTTTTTAGAGATAATATCAACTAGCTGGTTTACCAATAATACAGATAAAGGAAATGGTAGCATTTATCTTTTTCACTCAACTGGGAGTCTTTAAGGCACCTGTGTAAGTGTGTGAGTGTGTGTATGAATTGTATCTTCTTTGTCCTACAAACCACATTTAGAGCTCAATAAGTTCTCACTGCCTCCCAAATGTAATTTGGCTTTCCTGGCAAAACAAACAAACAAACAAACAAACAAAAAACTCAATGAAAATATCCCAAGAAGGTATGCTTTTTAAAAGTCAAAATATGAAAAGGTCTTGAATCACTGATCTAGGAATGTTGTTTTTATTATACCAGGATAAAAATAATCCATTGCAAGAAAGTGCCAAAACAGACCCAGATGTAGATCTTTTGCTTTCTAGTCCATGTTTAAATACATATGGTGGAGAGAAGAAGTTTCTGGAAGGCAGGGAATAGTAGGAAACGTTTTTGTATGGAGAATCCATTTTAAGCAAATAAATTAAATGTGTCTCTATTAACTTTCACAGTGGAGGAGGGAGGCACTCTTCTATAGCCTGGATTCAAACTTGTTTAGGTATCTGAATAAATATACCAATAGAGTCAGATGATTTTAGTTTACCTTCAAAGACCTTATATATTTCACACACCAAGTTTTTAAAATCATACCCAGTATTTAAATATAAATAACTTATATTCTATTATGTATTATGTATATATAATATGCTATGTAATACAACACATTGTATGTATAATTTTTGTGCCACTTAATGTGTAAATCGCTTAAGTGTGAAAATATTATGTAAAATCAACATATTTGTCTTAAAATGTTTATAAAGATTAAAACTGAGTTACAAATATTTGGACATATCTCAATTAAGCTATTTTACCTGAAACTTGAATCTAAATCAATATAATTATTTTGACATCAAGCAATAGGGCAATATAAAACATACATTTCAGAATTAAAAGTTTAGAACCACAGAATTTTAGTTGGGAATGGAGCGTTAGAGATGATCTGGCCCTATTCCTTTGTTAGACCAGAAAACATTGTATAAGTAAATTGGCACTGTGACAGAACAGAACTGGCATCAATGTCTTCTGCCTCTCCCAGGCCATTTGTTGTCATTGTTTTTCTTAAAAACACTGAGGGCAACAAGAAACTCTAATATAGACATAAAGGTTCCCCAAGTTTAATGTGAAGAAGAGCCACCCAAGACTTTCAATATAGTTCTTTATTCCTCTATTTTTTCTTTCCTTTTTTCTTCTTCTTCCCACTTTCCCCATTCTTCCTTCCTTCTTTCTATCAGAAAATATTTTTCACATAATCACTCTGTTCCATATTTCACAAATGTTTATTGAGCATCCACTGTTTTAAGTCCTGTTCTGGGTAGTACAGTTTGAGATAGGAGCACAGCCCAAACACTTCCCTCGGAATTTACAGGCTGCTAGGGGGAGCCAGGCACTACACAAGGAAAGCATAAATATAAAGAAACAGGTAAACATGGGAAGCAATTTCAGATGGCAGTAAGCACTGTGAAATAAGAGAAAGCAGGTTAGCGGGACTAGGGAGGGAGGGTGTGTGTTCAAGGGCATGGTCAAGGACTGAGGTAGTCCGAGATCAGCAGAGTCCTCAAGAGAGGCAGAACACTGGCGGAAAGACCATTCAAAGGAGTGGGAACTAGAGGTCTTGAGCCCTGAGTCCCGATTTGACACTAAAGCCAGAAGTCCAGTGGTGAATAAAAACAAACAGGACAGCTAACTTCAAGGAGCCTACAGTCAAGTGAGAAAAACAATGAATCCTAATCAAATTAATCACACTCAAAATGTACAACTGCAGTCATTAGACCTGGGGTCAGTGGGAACTAGCCAAGTGTTTGGTTGTATTAGAGGTGGGGGATGGCACGCGATCCAGATTTGGTTTTCACAGATATAACTAGAGTACTCTCTTGACTTGTTAGTGTGGAGGCTAATGGTCTAGTCCCAGAACAGAATGCAGGAGTTGCACCAAAAAGAGTGGGCTCTGCCAGGAGGGCAAGGGGCAGCAAATGGCTGGAGGCCAGAGGAAAACCCTTAGCAGTGAGATACAGTGAACATTAGAATCTTACATCTGAGAACTGAAGAGAATCTATAAGGTGACCATCTCCATGCCTTGAGGAAAGTGAGATGTGTGTGTGTGTGTGTGTGTGTGTGTGTGTGTGTGTATACACCCTTGCACACACTTTCTTTCTTTCTTGAAGTCAACACAGTATAGAAAATTCAAAATTACTGAAAATAGAATATTTTTATATAAATCAGCAGTGATTCCAATTCCCAGAGATAGTCACTGGCCATACTACAGTTTATATTCTTCCAGGTTTTTCTCAACACATTTTTTACATAGCTGACATTGTATTATATATGCAATTTTGTGTTCTGTTTTCTTTCCCACTTAATCTCATAGTATAACTTTATAAAACAAATGACATCTCTCATGTCATTCATTTGAACCTTCATTTATCACATGAGGTTATGGGGACTGGACAATTGACCCTTGACCAAAACCTCCCAGCTAATAAGGGGCCAAGACTCCTGACCCACAGTGTAGTGTTTCACAACCTATATCCCAGATCCTGAATTAATGTGTCTAATATGTAATATATTAACATTCTACCTGGGATATACACATGTTTTTAAATAAGAACTGTCAATAAGGAAAAGCAAATGTACAATAATGGTCTTTTAATAAATAAAGCAGTTACAAAAATAAATATAGGGACACCTGGTGGCTCAGTCGGTTAAGTGTCTGCCTTCAGCTCAGGTCATGATCCCAATGTCCTGGGATCAAGTCCCACATCAGGCTCCCAGTGCAGCGGGAAGCCTGCTTCTTCTCCCTCTGTCTGCTGCTTCCCCTGCTTGTGCGCTTGTGCTCTCTCTCTCTCTCTGACAAATAAATAAAATCTTAAAAAAAAAAAAGATGAATGACATACAATTTGAATTTTTCCTTTCTTATATGGGACACTAAGAAGCAATCTTCCTCTATTTGCTAACAAAGTTATTACAAAATAAGCGAGCAAAAATTTATGTGACATAATGCTATATAAAGATGTAAGAACTCAGGAGTGTGAATTAAGGCAGTCATTTTGGGAAGTAACTTGGTATTATCTGGAAAGGCTGAAAAAGAAAATTTTCTATGACACAGCAATTTCAGCCCAGGAAATACACCCTAAAGAAACAAAGGGTGCCTGGGTGGCTCAGTCATTAAGCGGCTGCTTTTGACTCAGGTCATGACTCCAACGTCCTGGGATCAAGTCCTGCATCAGGCTCCCTGCTCGGTAGCGGCAAGCCTGCTTCTCTGTCTCCCTCTGCCTGCCACTCCCCCTGCTTGTGCTCTCTCTCTGACAAAGAAATAAATAAAATCTTAAAAAATTTTTAAAAATAAACAAAAATATGAAACAGGTAGCCAAGAAGCCAAAGTGGACATATTACCTATGCATGTTTATAGTGTGTAATTACACGTAATATTATGAAATGCTTTCTACCATCTCATAAAATTGTGTGTTGTGGCTTAGCCCAGAATCCCCTATAATCTTTTAAAAATAGTATCTAATAGGTCTTATAGTGTAAATGTTATAGTGTAACTCTTTATATACCATAATGCAAACATTTCTACCTACTGACTCTGTCTATGTAGAATAAAAGCACCTGAAAATATGGCCATTGCCTTATTGGTTCCCAAAGGCAAACAAATTTCTGAAAATGTCAATAGCAAGTTTGATTTTTCCTTTCCTGAATGTCTATTTTATCTCTCCACTCATTTCGTATTTGGCATTCTTTCTTTGGGCTTCTATGATCATCTGTGTCCCTGTCTTTTTTCATTCCATTGTTGGGTTCTCTCTGGATCTTGTCGGCCCCTCTTATTCCTTGTTACCTCTCTGTTGCCAGAAATCACCTTCAGACCATTTCTCAACAGGTGTCCTAAAGGACTTTTGAGAAAGAACAACTTTTGTTGCATTAATAAATGGTGGGAGATTCACATACACATGTTTTTCTCTTTTTCCCCCTCGGTGCCTTGTCCAATAGTGTGGAAACTGAGCAGTACAGTCATAAATTAATTCTAATATCTTACCGTAGGCATTGGTATGCTGGCTATTGCTTCTTAATTCATTTAACAAATATTTATTGGGCACTGATTGTATGCCAAGAGTTGTGCTTGGTACCGGGGATACAGAAATTATTAAGATTTCTTCAAGGTACTCACAGTCTAGTTTAGCTGGTGGGGTGGGGTGGTATATGTGGAAAAAAAAACCCTCACACTTTTGGGGGAAAAAAGTGTAGTAAATGAAACAATCCAATTAAATTCAATAAACCCGGAGTGCTCACCATGTGCCAGGCAGATGGTAAGGAGGCTAGGGCTGCGCCAGGCCTTGCTCCTCACAGATTCCCAAGAGCTGGCAAATGGTAACATTACCTGGCACGTGTTAAGTACTTCCTGGCAGAAAGAAAGACAAAAAAGTCATAAAGTACAAGCAACTTGATCACAGGAACACTTTGAACAAATCACTGCCCTAGCAATGTGAGAAGAAAGTTTGTTTTTCTAATTTTTTATGCTGCTATTAGCCTACTGAGGGCCAAGACTAGTTCCCAGACTGCGGGCTTCCTCACCTCACCTTCCGTGAATCCCAGGCTGGCTTTGCAATTCTTTCCTCCCTTCCCTCAGGCCTTCAACAACAAATCCTCAACTAGGTGATAGGAGATTATCTGATTAAAGTCATTCACACTAAGGTGAGCTTGAGGCTTAATCCTTCAAAAGTGATTACTTTGACAAAAGATAGTTGGTTAACCCTAATGAACTGCTAACTGGCAGAGTTTGGAGGGCTCTTGGGGAAGCCCCCCCCTTCTCACCCTCCCAAGATGCCCACCCTTATTTCCTTCCCTTTCTATTTCCTCTCCAGAGATAAAGGAAGAAGGGAAACCGGTGAATTCAGGAATGTGAGGGGACTCTAATGACACATAATCTCTCTTTGCACTCTCCCAAGAGGCAAATGAGGTGGTATTATGAGCCCATCCTAGAAATGGGGAGACCAAAAGTAAGGCAGTGGTTCCTGACTTTGGCTTCACTTTAGATCCATAGAGTGCAATCCAGACCAATCAAATCAGAATTTATGGGAGTAGCATACAAGCATCAGTATTTTTTTTTTTTAAGTTCCTCAGATGGCTCCAATATGCAGCCAAGATGTCCTCCCACTGAGCTAGAGTTCAGGAAATGGAAATACCCACAATCAGCGGTGACCCATTGACCTGGTCCACTTTCTCCCTTTGGCAAGGCAAGTAAGTTCTATTTGGCTGGAAAGAAACAGTGTTCTCTGCAGGAAACTCTGTCTCAAATAGAGTTAGGTGTGGGTAAACCGGCACACATATGCATCTAAAAATGTGGGAATCAGGACTAGTTGTCTGAAGCTAAGGTAGTAGTGCACATTTGTCATGCACCTGCTGGTCATGGTGCTTCTTAGGCAACCTAAACATGTTTCACTTTATACCAGATAAGCATCAGTCGTCTGTCTGTGGGCTTAAAAATAAACTAGGTATGGTTAAGTCCACACAGAGGATAATCCTACATATTCTATAATGCTTAGGTTGCCGTTTATTTATAATTCCATATCCTGTCTCCTAAGAAATTGTGAT